TAATAAGAATACTTATAAAGGTAAGAATAGAACTGCCCATATAAGGGCTTTGTAGGCGAGAAGAAGAATTTATAAATCACTATCCGGTGTTCCTATAGAGAGGACCAGTGGTACAGAAGCAGCCAGAATAGAGGATAAATAACGTGAGTCCCTTTTCCTAACTCTGGTTAGTACACGAGCTCGACAGCTATTTGCATCACTGCAGGCGACTTGACTCGATCTTGGTACAAACCACAACTCGATATCAAGAGTATACAAATAAAAACTCAGCATTGAAGTAATAACAAAATCATCGGCTAGTTTCTCTGCATAGTTTTGAGGCAAGTATGCATTGATTTTTGCAATGTTAACGTAGATGCGATAGGCGGTCCTCATGAATTGATTTTAGTGGAGTGTTAAAGATAAATACTGATCAAATATAACACCAAGATTCCTATACAGTCTCACGACGAGGCAAATTAATGCATCCATAGTTAATATATCTTTAGATAATTTGTATTCGTTAGATTCTTCGCGCCAAAGACAAGTAAACATTACAGAATTTTGGTACGATGTATAAACATCAAAAAAATGTAAAGGTATACCACAGTTTTTAGTCTTGGGCAGTCAATTGAATATTTAGATAGAAATAATATTCATCAGAGCTATAGACATATGATAATTAAAGATATAAGAGTTCATACCGAATAACAATGAGATTTACAGAAACAGATTTACATATATATATTATGACTAACAGGAAAAAGCATATATAAAAAAGTAGAAAAAAACAGGTCCAAGCATGAGAACATATGACTAACACAATGGGTACTTATAAGGTTTAGACTGGGATCAATCCGTACTGACACGTACAAAACTGAGGACAGTATCAGATAGATAAAGGAAACATAACAAGCTAGCAGATTCCACATATATATGCCATAGAGACCACATATATAAAGTCTTTGCCCAATAGGAATATAACATAGAGAGCGAATAAGTATACATGACAGCACTAAGATCGAGCAAAGACAAGAATAAGAAGACATCCATTAGATCAAGACGAGTATATAGATAGATACATTATAAGACAATTCAGAGTCTCTGATGCTATAAAGTATAGGAAGATAATACAAAAGCCAGCTGAAATCTTTCAAAAAACAATAAAGTTTTAATATAGAAATCAACAAACCGCTAGTTATGCGACTGCTTTCATCAAGAATATTTAGAGAGGAACCAAGATTAGAAATAGGTACTATAGTTGGCTAAAACCTTGGTCCGAAAGAGGTTGTGACATTGTGAACTCTCTGGGGATTTCTCTTAGAGTCAGCAAGATGACATGATCATCTTTCCTAACCCTTAGTGTCTGAGCCGTAGTGTCCTTATTTCGGGACAATGGGGCCCACGACATTGCGCATGCGTGTGGTAGGTGGGTTTTTAAAACCTCAGCCGTCCTGCGATGCATGGTGGAGGCTTCACAGTACCAGCCGCCACTGCGTTTTGCACGTGATAGTAGAGGCTTCATAGCACCAGCCGCCACCGCGCTTGCACTTGATAGTGGTGGCTTCAGAGCCCCAGCTGACACTGCATTTGCACGTGACAGTGGAGGCTCCACAGCCCCAGTCGTCACTGCATCTGCACGTGACGAAGGCGGCTTCAAAACCCCTGACGCCACTGCGCATGCGCTCAGTGGCGGTGGCTTTAAAACCCTGTCGCCACTACGCATGCGCGTAGCGAAGGTGCCTTCACAGACCCGTTCTAATGTCCGCCTTTTGAGAGATGCCGTAGATGCTCTCAAAAGGGGAACAATAGGCGGACTTTATTGGTTTTATTGCTTTTTATTGTTTTTTCTTTCATTTTTTTGAGCTGCGCCCTCAGT